AATTTCCCGTTCAAACTTCATCACGCCTCAACTTTGAATCAGAAATGAAAAACCGTCTTCAGTTTCATGACTAAAAGAATCTCGTGTGTTCAACAGGATTATTTGCCAATGATCACCTGCCGTACGCTCACGAAAGGGAAGCGTCGCCAGAAAACAGAGAACAATTCCCGTCTCTCGCCGAAATGACGAAAAAGGCAATCGAAATTCTGCAAGCAGGAAATGACAACGGATTTTCGTTACTGGTAAATCCAATGGCTGAAATCCAGCACCATTATCATGCAAAAAATAATAATAATTAGCTCGAGGTTTTCCAACTATTTGAGGTTTTTTTTAATGAAAGAATCTAACGAAACGTAGAATTGCCAAATGAATGGCGCAACTGCATCCGAGATTCTTCGGGTATTCCTTCAATAATTCTCAAATAAATTAATGAAAATATCATAGAATAACAGCAAGCAAAAAAAAATGCTCAGCACAATCAAAAAATTTTAAAGCTCTGGAAAATCACGCACGCGAAAGAATTTCCCACAGTAACTTCAACTTTTTTTTTACCCTCTTCATTCACTCCATCACCCGAAATATGCTTCAGAATCTGAAGTTAAAATCGGTGGCGACAGGCATCAATTACTGTATGTGCAAAAATCCATTGTGTGAGGCATTAATTATCCGAGATAAGAAAAAAACTGTGCTACATGAAATATTGAGGCACCAGAGTTCACGATATATTTTTACCCTCCACCAAATATCTCCTGAGAATCATATTCAAAGGTTTTCTTGTGCTCTTGATTATTTTGTGAGCATTTTCACTAAAGCAAAATATCTAAATCACGAATTAATCATGAATCATTCTAACCTAAATCTTGAAGCAGCAGAAAGCGTACGAAAAATCACTAATTAATAATATAACGCAAATTGAAACTTACAAATCGTTTCGATGGACTTCACAATTTTTTTTTTAATGCACACGCAAACACACACAGGTGGAAGGAGGAAGAATTGACCACGCTCATCACGCCTTACAAATGAATGCCGCATTCCTGGAACTTCTAGACATGGAGTCTGCAGTTTCTGCGGCCATGGAAATGACTGACCCGGATGAAACCCTCATCATAGTCACAGCCGATCACTCACACACCATGTCTTTCGGTGGATGGCCACAACGTGGAACGCCATTGCATGGCGAGTACAAAACAATAAAATAAAATAAAACTTTAAAACCAATCAAGAGCAATTAAAATAAGAATTTGAATAAATTCAGGGAGGATTAAATGAAGTGCGCTCAGTCTCCCAAGTTCAACTCAGTGCAAGTTTACGAACACCGAAATTCTGGGCATAAAACAAAAATTATTCAACATGGAACATCGAACAAATTGTAAATACACATTACAAAATGCGTATTACAAGATTATACAGCATACAATTTTGCGAAACGTTAGTTCTAGTTTCCTTGTGCCATAACTTTCTTGGAAAAAGATTACACAGTTCATACTTCAAATGCTCAATTTAATACACAAGGGCGATTCAGATACGAATGGGCTGACTAATACAGTACCGCATTTCATAAAATACAGCACTGTACCATATTATTTTTTTCTAAATCAAATTGCTTCAATACTCAATATCATCTCATTTTTTTTAAATCTTTACCACAGCATAAGTCTAAGGGCTAGGATTTTCTCAAGAGTAGCGAAAATACTTTTTAATCATAGCCTTCACCTCGGCATCACTTTTCAATAAAATTGACTTTTTGATTCAATTTTATTTATACGATAACAGAGTTGCAAAACCAGCCGAGAATTCTCAGGAAGATGTCCGTTGTTCTCGTCTTCTGGAAATAAAATACCATTCACAAAGTTGCCAAGTCTCATAACTTATGGAACACTCAACGGGCAAAAAAAAAAT